CCATTAAAAAAATTAAAGGTAACCTTTACGTGACCTTCAAGCAACTATTTAAGGTCAAATTAATGACACCACCTTATGTCCCCCTTGAAACCATACAACTTTTGTCTGAAACATTTTTTTCTAAAATGCATTGTTTACGAGATATTTGACCGTTTCCAGACTTTTCTAACACCCTGTATGTATACAAATTGTGATTGATGATATCTATACATTTTTTTTAAAACGATTTGGTCGTTTACAAATATAGTCACCAACTCTTATAACGTGATGCATAGATCTTACCAAATTCATTTTTATCAAAAGCAATGAATTATTGTTTTCTGTAATAGGTATAATATGATCTATTTTTACCCGTTCCTCCGGATGATAAAACATTTTACAATGCTCTGCTCAATACTAAAACAGTTCATTACGAAACATAATGAGTTATTTTCCATCTAAAAAAAAATCTTATAGCTCCATATATAATACTGTTATCTATTAAATTCAGTTGTACCGTATAACTATTTATTTTGGTAGTTTTGTACATCGTTGATGTGTAAATTTCGTTTTCTATTCTCGCTTGAACATAAATGACTAAGCTACGCGAATTCACATTGTTAGAAATTAATAATTCTGCCTCGGAATCGTTAAACTTGACATCAGTCATACTTTTACCAAGTAACGATGGTTTTTTATCCTTGGATAATTTGGTAGCATTATCATTAACTCGATTTCTCAGTATTTGTACACGTTGAGCGATCCTTAAATTGTTAATAATTTCTTGACCAAAATGTTTTGTGCCACGAACACAGTTTGCAAGAAATCCATTGAAATTTTCGAAAGAAAAAACTGAGGTAGCCCATAGAGGACCCCATCGTTCAACTACAAATGGCAGATGCAAAAGCTGATGGACGTTATATGTTAACTGACGATCACCGTATAAACTTTCAATTTGTTTAACGAATAGTTTTAGTAAAACTTTTGCATTCTTAAGCTCGCATGTTTTAATATTGTCTTGGAGCAAAATAAACAATCCCTTAACAAAAAGAATCCAGTGTTGTAAATATTCGTCTGCCCAATGATTTACTATTGCTGGCAGTGAGTAAAAAAGAATTAGATTATAATATTCTGATGCTTTATAAAACTTACAATCTGTTATAAGCTGTGGCATCCGATTGAAAAAATGTGGTGGTCGAATATTTAACAAAAACTGTCAACATCTTTGATATATTTTTTTAGACTCCAAGGTTCATTTTTTTTTTGTAAACCATAATTGTGCGAATTGCTTTCCTACTCCTAATAAAACAGAGTGCATATATTCAGGTAACAAGCACGTTCCTAAATCAAGAAGAGGAAGATTTGAAATAATAGAATGTCGTTTTACCCCTTTAACATAAACGTCACCTGTTTGGAGTACTTTTTGAGCTTGAGCTTGCATTCTCTGGCCAGTTCTTAGCTTTTTATCTTGATCATGAAAAGGATAGATACGACAGTTTTTTTGCCTTTGATATTTTTGGCTCGTTTCATTTTTATTTCACAAATATTACAGCCATATCGGCCATTAAAATTCGAAATATTTTGCAGTTGGGCTCTTGCTGGTGCATCGGCTATTATCAAAGGAGCTACAACTCTTGTAATGAACGTTTCTCTTGTTCGTGGATGGACCCAACTGATACCATCTTGAAAACATCGTTCTAATTTTGCACAAAATGGTTTTAAAAAAGTGTTCATTAATGGTTTACACAAATCATCGTACCACAATCCTATAGTAATGAGAAACGATTCCCTTAAATGTTCGGGAAGTTCCGAAATAATAAACATTAGCGGCCAACAATGACTTTTTGCACTTTTGACTAATGACAGACTATCTGTATTTAGCATCAATGTTAAATCGTACTTTTGTTTATCTTCTCTAGAATTAACTCGAACATATTCTGAACCATCCGTAATATCATTAATTTGACCATTGTCAGAACTTGACGATAGCGCTTTTAATTTGTCAGCAATATTTCGTTTTTCGAATAGATATTTTATCTGTTTACAGATGTCAATTTCGAAAAAGCAAGAAATACTTTTTACGTTTGCATTGCACGAAAAACATTCATGTATTCTTGTATCACCACTACAGTAACTTAAACATTTTTTACAATAGAAGTGTTTAATAACGTTAAGCGATAGTGCCAAATTTTCAATACATTGGAACAATTTGAAAACGGTTTTTGGTAAATTGTTATCATCAGATAGCATTTTATGCAACATTTCTAAAGTGCCTTTCAAACTAGCTTTAGTCCATTTATGTTCTACGTATAATTCTAAGAGAGTTAAAAGACTTTCATCGATAGTCATTTGACTATTTTCATACAATAATATATCTATCGTATTATTTTGCCATCTAGGCTCATGATCATTATCGCTATTATCTTGTCTATAATTGAAGTCGTTAGGATCACTCTCGTTTTCAAGACTATCACTACTGCTTGTGTTGTCTACATGATTGCTCTCAATATCAAAAGCCTCACTTCCATTATCCTCTGAAGTTAAAGTACTTGATACGGTTACGTCATCAGAATCAAGATTTTCAACATCATTAGCATAACTGCATTCTTGGAAATTAATGGAAGAACCGCTTGCCGTTGGTTTACTATTATCATGATTAGCAATAGAAATAGCATATTCTGCATTATTATTTGACTGCCATCGTTGAATCGTTCTCAGCGGTACCTGCATATTTACAAAAATTACATTTATGAAGAGGTGATCTTAGATTTGTAAAATTTATTTGTCTATTTTAACTTCAAGAATATTAAGAATCTCATTTTTTGCTATTTTCTAATGAAAATTTAAATGTTACTATTACAAAGCTAAATTATGTAGGAGAATATGTAGGAGATTGAAATCTACGAATCAATCACTATTTTCGGCTGAAATTATAGAAATGATTTTATTACAATTGCATGATTACTATAATATCGTGTTTACGCACTATAATTATATATATGCTATAAAAATGTAATGAATTGAATGCAAAACAATTTTTAAAGATGCCTCAACATTATATAATATTCATCGAAATAATATTGTCGATGAATATTATAACTCCATTTTCATTATTATAATCTGAGTTATAGTTTCATGCAAATAAAAAAATGTGATACACTGCTTCTACAGTAGAAAATACATATTATTCTACTTCTACAGTGTAAAATACACAATTCTTCATTTAAGTAATATGCATGATTGCTTAAATGAACTTATATATGTATATATATATATATGCTATATGAATTGTATATATACGTACCGACACAGTATCATGCTGTAACCAATTTTTATATTTTTTCTTGCGAGGTTCGCCATCATGTTCTGATGACATTTTTATGAGTTAATTGATTGAATTAAAAATTATTGCCTGCAAAACAAATTTATTCTTTCATTACATACATACTTCTGAATATTATTTTATAGGTTATAAATTAATTTAATTTTTAGCCTACCTTAACAAGTTGAATTAAATTTCCAACAATCTCAAATATATGTATATAGTATTATAAAGATGTCAATAAACGCACTTTAATAAGACCGAATATAAAAGCACGTTTAAAAGTATTAAAAAATTGAACGACGATTAAAATAATTTTTTATGGCAGATGACGCAATAACCTTTTTCGCGCGATTTTTACACGCGTGCATGTATACGTGGGTCATCTGTATAATTTATGTATACGCACGTAACTGATGCGTGGTTCTTTGTTTCGCACTTAGGAAGGGAGCCACAGTCAGTTGAGGCCATAGACATAGTATATCTAGACCGAGCGTTTGCCTTTATTTAAGAAGTGGGGGTAAAGATACACGTAGAAAAGGACATACTCTGTTTCGTGCCTCTTGCGTTCTCTCTCGCTCGCACAGAGCATAGCGCTCTCTTTCATCATGCTACGTGCGAGCGAGAGAGAACGCAAGGGGCACGAAACAGAGTATGTCCTTTTCTACGTGGGCATCGGCCCCCACTCCTCAACACTCGGTCTAGATATACTATGGCCGGTATTCATAGTCCGTTCTTATATCCAAGATCGTCTTAAGTGTGGTCTTGGGTCGTCTTAAGATCTTTCGTCATGCTACGTGCGAGTGAGAGAGAACGCAAGGGGCACGAAACAGAGTATGTCCTTTCCTACGTGCATCTTTACCCCCACTCCTTAAATAAAGGCAAACGCTCGGTCTAGATATACTATGTCTATGGTTGAGGCACTTGAACCAGTGATGCCAATTTCGAGACGCTGCCACATCCGCAGCGTGTGGAGGGGATAGCGCACACAAGCGTGAGCCATGTACATGTAATGCGCAGAATTCTCTGTGCATTATATGTACACGGTTCACACTTGTTGCGCTATCCCTTCCACACGCTGCGGACGTGGCAGCGTCTCGAAACTGGCATCACTGATTTGAACTTGAGGCCCTATTGCTTTGTTTATGCTGTGACCACGTGTGATATTGTTGGTGCAATAAAGTGTTTCATTATAAGTTTGTAATTAATACGTTTATTATAATTTCAAAAACTGTGAAACTTAAAAAAAATGCTCTTGATTGAGTGCTCAGCAGACAATTCTCTTCTGGTTCTAGAAGAGGATTACGCAATTTGTGACGCGGCAACCATGAAGCCGGGTGATATGGTAAAATTTTTTTACAATAAAAAACATTATGATGGCAAAGTCTTAATGCGTTCAAGTAAGATTATTATCAAATTTAATTAACATTTATATATTCATATTTAAGTTTCAAAGCTGTCAAGTTTTACTTGCAGTATTTAATAAATACTGTGTTGAATTCGATAAAAATAATAATATAATAATTATAAGGCTATATATTCTCTTAGCCGAAGTGTTATATTATTATTTTTTAATTATTGTTTCATGATTTAGATATTTTTAAATATATTTCTTGTCAGATGATGAACAGAAACTGAAATGTGAATTGAGAAAAATCCAGGCCTCGATAAATATAAAAACACCGGCAAATTCATCACCAAATATCCTAATGACTTCAAATGGTAATAAAAGATTGAGAAAAAAACACGGATTTATTCGTCGTCAAATAACTTGGGAAATAAGCAAAAGAAAGCCGAAATGGATCCAGCCAAAAAAAAGTAAGCTCTTCACAAATTAAGAGATAATCTATTAGAAGTGTCGTTATTTTATCAAGAAGTATCCTTCGGAACATATAAATAATATAAATTCTTTTTTTTCATATATCTTATTTCGTTTGATTATATAGGATAGTATGTTCAAAGTCAACATTAAATATGTTCAAAATTGAAACATTAAAATTTCGTTTCTAAATTTCGCCGTTATATTAAAACGATTGCCTCAGAAAATAAAACACGAGCGAGAACAAACAGCGTCGCGGTCACCCGCTCGGTGCGTGATCGCATTCTTCTTAGAATGAAAAACTGTGACAAACACCTGGTTCGAGAAGGTTCGAAATCAGAAAAACTTGTTATTCAGATCGGCAGAATTCTTCTTAGAATGAAAAACTGTGACAAACAGCAAGTAGTTCTCGAATCGAAATCAGAAAAACTTGTTATTCAGATCGGCAGAGCGCGAGTTTCCGCGGTTGGTCGATTTAGTCTACCTACGACAATGATTCGAGCCGGTCGAAATTCATCGACTTTTCGCATTCGCATTTCGCTGATTCTCGCTGGTGTCGCGTACGCAGTAGGTTTACTCGTCTCAAATCGGTCCGAATTGTCTCGCATACGATCGCAGTCATAGTCTCGCGGCGGTCAATTCGGTCACATCTCAACTCGTATTCTTTAATTAATTAGTGCTAAGACATCGTGAAAGTTAATTGTTAAGAGTGTGGAGTCCGAGAGTCGACGCGCGTTAACCGTTACGCGAATGTCCTCTGCCTCGCAACATCCGGCGTCCGCGTGCAAGATATCCGTTCTCGCGAGAGCCTCTAGCAAGAAGCTCTGCAAGATTTCCGACCCGCGTCGAAGGCAGAAAGTAAAAGGACATTTTGAAGATTTCCGTTGGAATCGCGGAGTGCGTGCCGTCGCTCGCTCCTATAATTCGAAATAAAACGAATAATTAAAACAATCTGCACTCGACTCTTTTCTCATTTTCCTTATCCTCCAGCGAATCTACGGATTCGCGTTACACACCGCTTCTCGCTCATCTCTGAGCGTCTCTCTCTCAGTTTCGGGCGATCTCGTCGAGGTCGACTCCCGAACAAAATAGAAAAGATTCCAGCGAGTCAGATTCAAATACCAATGATGATATTGACCTTAAGGAAAACCATCAGGTCAAATATTATTCAACTTTTTTGTAATATGCATGTGTTTATAACATGCATGTGTTTAAAATATGAATGTGTTGAAAAAAAATTATTTTTGGAAAAAATATAAATTATTTAATCTAAAATATTAGATTGAAAACTTGCAATGAAAAATAATCATGTTAAGATATTTGCTGTTTTTTCAAAAGTAATTTTACCTCTTCGTATAAAGACTAAATTCGATTTTTTTAAATATCTTGCTTATATTTTATCTATAATTTTGATTGTTTTAGGAAACTACTCATTTGTACACTGCAGATAACTCGAGCCCAACACTAAATTTGTCAAATAGCCCACCTAAGAATCTATCAGATAAGTCCATTGGAAAATGTTATAGTGACAACTCCATCCAGGTATCAGTTAGAGACTTCTATCTTCGATGAAACACTCAAACGAAACTTTCCGCAGAAACAGCCATCACGTCAAATATTAAAACATAATGGTGAAAATTACGAATCAGACGATGACAAATTTGATGATCTCGATGAGGATGAACAACTGCTTGGGCCAAATTTTGGCAACGACTCAGTGAGTGCATAAACGATAAAATAGTTCATTCAAAAGTATCTAATGCAATTACTCAAATAAATATTATTTTTATTCACACCAATATTAAGATCTATATTGAATATAATTCGAAGTCTATTTATTTCTTTATATAAGGTAATAATTGTACCCAGGATTAATGATATTAACATTTCTTTTTTGATTGATAACATTTCTAGAAGGAAGGAAATTATTCAAGTAGCTTCAAAATTTTGACTGTAATAAAATTTTTGTTTGATCTAATGTGTAATATGTTTGCACAGTTCACATTGATATTTTTCTTCAATAAAAAATGTTCAAATTTAAAATATCGGTAGACCCAATTATATATATAGTCGTACAATTCAATTTATGAGAATATTTCATTGCAACTATTAATATCTGCAACTCAATTAATTCTAATAAATATATTTTTTACTGATCAATTTTTCTGAGTCAACTGTGTTTTAATTCATAATTATTTTGCGGTAACATTTCCTTTGCTTTGTTCATATATTTTCAGATGGTGCACTTGCAAAAAAATATTTTCTGCAAAAAAAGGATATTGCAATACGCCTTATCGAATTCGTCGCAAGCAACCCACATTGCGCACAAGCTTCTTGAAGCAGTTTTTAAAAAAGAAGCCCTTCTTAAATGTACCCTCACTGGTCAACCGGGCCGTGCGCAAGGGAAGGAGCGTCAACAGGAAGCAGTTGTACCTATGCATCGACGAGCAAAAAATGCTATTATACGTAACGTATCAATTCTTTTCGAGTTTTTTATGATTACACCTTCTCTCGGATCTTACTCTATTTTATTCACAAATTTTATTTACAGAATACTCCAAAACAATTGCCGAAAAAAGGCAATGGACGGTGAATTCAACGGCTGACATAAAGAAGTCGATGGGTCAGAGATTGGTCGAGATAAAATCTCAAGAACGAAAAAATAGAGTATAATTACTGGTTACCTTACACATATCTATTTTTTTTCTGTGATTGTTTAATTATTAAGTATTCAAAGTCACAAAAAGTACAAATATGTTAAGTAGAGATTTACATGAAGAAGACCTATAGTGATTTCATTATGTGATATGTGGAGCAAACTTGTTTCCGGGGGTAGGTGGTGACAGGCATTGTCTCGTTGACAATATGACATTGAGGACGCGTTTGTTTTTACCGTCGGTCGTTCGAAAGCTACTCGCAATGAGGCTAAATAACGATGCATTTCTGAACCAATATGTAACAGGTAAAGCTGGTATTATAAGAATGACGTAGATAGTTCATTTCATTATCCCTATACATGCCGTACTTATTTTTACCAATTTTTATTTATGACTTCTACTGTACTTTTTCATTTTGCGTTACTTTTACTTTTAGAAAATTATAAAACATGAGAGGTTTGTTTATGATTCACCACATTTTTTCTTTTCATACATATTGTCCTAATTTTTATTATAGTCGTAAATGTTATAAGTAAAAAATGCTCTTTTTTATAAACAATTATATTAATCGTATGTCCGAGCCGAAATTATATGTAATATTTTCAAACAAATTATATTGCATGAAAATTTCCATTAATTTCAACACCTCTCTGTCGTTCATACCACCGGTAGCATATTTTCATTACAATCAATCGTATAAAATAACTTTTTACCGTTATAATTTATTTCGAAATAGTAAAATTCATTTATTTTGGAACAAAATTTTACACACAGTTCTCAGTTTAAACGATATTACAATACAAATTCTAGAAAAATAACTATGTTTCAAAAAACAATTCGTATATAAAAAATATATATGTGTGTTTTTTAAGAAACTAATTGTTTTTAGCAATGTATAATTGAAATTACAAGTAAACTAATATATACTCGTAATTTCAATTTTATATAGCTATGAATAATCATGTATTATTGAATATAGCGATAAATGACTAGATACAATCGTATTTAATCATGTCAAAACATACATGAATTAATACCCAGCAAACACAGATTATAATTATTATATAACCTACAAGTAACACGTAATATAACAGAAGTTATACGTTATTAATGTTGATGTTACATTATTTTTTTTTGTAACTGCAATATAACTGTGTTTTAAAACTGTTATATATTTTTGGTATTTACTGGTTATAACAATATAACAGCAATACAATGGAAATATTACATGTTATATAACAAACGTTGCGTTAGCATTACTTTAATGTTATATAACATATTTTGTAATATGCGTCACTTTTAAATTTTGCCGCGCAACAAGTATTTCCGTATCCTGTGTGTGTGTAATTGTGTATATGTAGAAGCCATGTTGCTGAGAAGAAATAGCTCTTCCCGGTTTGCCGTTCATCTGATTTGCACGGAATTTTCGTGGATAATTTATATCAAAGGTAATCTTTTCCGTCTTTATAAATAATCAGCTATTAATATATATACAAAACATTTTCTACACAACATTTTAAAGTAAATTGATCTATATTATTCTTTCTACTAATATTTGTTCGAAATCTTGCAAAATTGCTATCCGAAAAATCTAGGTTATGCTCCACGTTGCAATATAAATTCTTCGTATAATATGCTATTTTGTTACATTTTGAGGTGGATAGTTAGCGCTTTATCATTTTAAATTATAAACCATAATTATGTGCAAATATCGATAATTTTTTTCAAATATCTTGTTGCAGCATTCTCCAGGCTTTGTAGAGCATTGATACGAATCATTGCTTGCCTAAATTGGTTAGCGAAAGCAGTCCCCTGTGTTGAAGTTTATAAACGACAGCTGTTTCATCGAAGGTGCTGTAAGCATTCTCCAGGCTTCGTAGAGCATTGATACGAATCATTGCTTGCCTAAATTGGTTAGCGAAAGCAGTCCCCTGTGTTGAAGTTTATAAACGACAGCTGTTTCATCGAAGGTGCTGTAAGCATTCTCCAGGCTTCGTAGAGCATTGATACGAATCATTGCTTGCCTAAATTGGTTAGCGAAAGCTGTCCCCTGTGTTGAAGTTTATAAACTGCGTGTTACATTTCGTTTTATTATGATAATATAACCATTATATATCCGTGTGTGCTGGGTATGGTCATATACGAGGTTATCTAATTATATATGGCCAGATTGGATCATGTGCGGTCGAATATTATTATTGGATAAAGTTCAGAAAAAAGCCCGTCTCCGATTTCGATGAAACTTTGTGAAAAGCTCCCTTTCAGGTTAAAATAAAAGCCCCTAAAAGGAATTTTGGCGATTTCTACGAGAAAGTCATTTTTTAAGAGAAAATGGTAAAAAGTATAATAATTGTGATAATTATTTACATTAGCAAATATCTCGCCACTTCCGGAAGGTATAACGTAACCCGAACCTATTTCCGATTTAGTTTCGCGTCCGAAGCACAGGGCGATATGAGATGGACCTCGCTTCGCGCAGAAAGTTGCAAACCCATGTGAAATCGTTTAATTATAATCCTCGTTTCGCGTCCGAAGCACAGGACGATATGGGATGAACCTCGCTTCGCATTGTAAAGTATATGCGTGGACACAGTGGGTTCCGCCCCCCCCTACGGGGGGGGCTCCACTTCCGGAAGGTATAACGTAACCCGAACCTATTTCCGATTTAGTTTCGCGTCCGAAGCACAGGGCGATATGAGATGGACCTCGCTTCGCGCAGAAAGTTATAAATTCATGTAAAATCATATCCCAGCAAACACAGATATATAACAATTAAATTGTTATGATATAACGGAATGTAACACTTAATATAACGTGTACGTTATAAGTAATATACACGTTAGTTGTAATTTCCCACTCGCAGAAAATTATAATTATATAACATAAATATAAAATGTAATCGAAATGTTATATAATCATAAGAGAAGTTATGAAAATGTTATATAATCGTAATGCAACTTAGCGAAAAGTTATAAAACTGAAACGTATATTGTTGAACTGTTATATACAAGTTATTTTATTAGTTATAAAATAATTATATAATTATTACATTAATATTCTTAAACAAATGCGACTTTCACAAATAATAGATCATTGAATTAATTCTAAGCAAAACTAAACAAAATTATATTACGTATAATAAAATTTTGTTTAGTTTTACTTGGAATTAATTCCTTCTATTATTATTGGTATTTCATCGGGTTTTAAAAATTGATCTTCAGATCTTCGCAATGTTCTATCTTCAGATCTTTGCAATGTTGTATTATTTTCATTTTCTGGAAATATATATTTATGAAAGTAATAAATGCTACAATTTATGCAATATTAAATATTATAATCAAGTACCATGATGATAGGTTGCAATATGATTGCATTCACTTATACCATTTACTTGCAAGACATCTGTAGTCTTATTTGATCCAAAGTTATCAGAACATGATGGCAATGCTGATACGATAGTATTCGTGTTTGGATGCTTTTCTGTATAAAGAAATCAATAATATTTTATAATCAAAGCATAATCAATATTACATAATATTGGTAACATTGTTAAACATTAATAGATATCTGAGACACAATTTTAAATATGTTTTCTCTATAATACATATATATCTCTAAAGCATCGTGGACACAAGCTTAATACAATAATACATATAAAATAAGGATTTCTAAAAAAAATATTTCTAATTAAAACATTCGTGCATAGTGTTGATTTCCCATTTCACACAGAAACTACTATGGTACTATATTTTTAGAATTGCAATAAAAAAATGAATAATAAAACTTTTATAAGTGTTTTTTGTCGATGAAGATGAAATTTGTCATACCTATAAAAAAATGATCATAATACTTCATATACAATTTTTTCGAACTGAGCTGTAACTGTACTATGCAGTAACTTTCAAATATTTTTATATCCCTTTGAAATATTCAACTAAAACTAAATAATATATTACAATATTTTTTTTCATTTAGCATCGTTTAAAATTATTTATAAACAAAACTTATCAAAATATAGTGATTATTTCACTTCACATTTAAAAAATAGCATAGTTATACAAGAAACATGTATCAAATAATGTTATCTATTTCTTTATAAATATGCAAAGTTTTAGCAAAATCAATGAATGAGAGTAATTGATAGAGGTAAATAAAAAATACGCATTGTAAAATGTTTTTGTAATACATATTTGAAATATTATGTTTTCGAATTTGAGAATAATCGTAGTCTTCTTCTTCGGTGCTGAAGCGATTATATGAAACATGTTGTCTGTGGCCTCGCCCCAGTCTTTCTTCATCAGTTGTGTAATATGTAGCATCTGCTGCACTTTTACGAGCTGATTCGAGAGATGCAGTGCAGGAAAAGAAATTATTATTAACATTTGTGTGTATATATACATTATGATGAGAACAAAAATGTTTTGTCGGTTCTAGCAT